TAAACAAAATTTAATATAGCAATAATTTAATATTAATTAGTTGTTATCATGAAATTGTTATATTAATAAACTTTCAAGATGTGATTTCAAAAAATTATGGCTTATTTCTTTTTCAGTCGTCTTAGAAAAACGTGAATTACCAATAGTCGGTAGAGTCATGTAAATGAAATGGAATATTTAATATTTCTTTAACAAATGTAAAATATTTCGTCATAGAGTTTAGAATTGATTTTGTTGCACAATTAAAATTTTGTATAAAAATAACAATTCAATATCTTGTTACAAATCAACTTTATTTTAAATTGTATTATTAGTTAAACATCAGGATCTAAGCGAAAAGAAAGAAATAAAAAAACTTTAATTTATTTTTATTATTATCTATCTTTTGTATTAATTTAGACATAAAATTAAACAAATTTTTACAAAATTCTATCAAATTTTTATAGACAATATAGTGCGGTGCATTTATACATGTAACGTGTCGAAAGAAAACTTTAAAATATTATAAAAAATTAAAAAAAAGTAAATTTAAAATATTATAAGAAAAGGAATATCCTCATCATTCAATGTAATAACAGAATTCGTGTAAATCTCAACTTGCTAAGTAACAGATGTTATTCAATTGCTTTTTAATAAATTTTTGAACTTAAAATAATTTCGATTGATATACGATAATCTTTCCTTTTTTTTAAATTTATCTATGTGTGTTTAAGAATCTGTTAAAATATCGTTGAAGAAAAAAATTTAAATAAAATATAATTAAAGATAAATAAAAAAAATTAATTAAAGATGTAGTATAAAACTCATCTAAAATGTAACTTTAGCATTTAGAAAAATTAATTTTATTTTTGAAATTAAATTTCAAAATGTTAAATCAAATCATAATCATTTTTAATATTTTAAATATCGATTAGACCACAACATAAATCTAATTTTATTTTTTGTTAGCATTTATAAAGATATACTTAAATTCTCGCTTACTTTATATATATATATATATATATATATATATATATATATATATTTACATATACCTATATGAAATACTCATATACGATCAATATAATTAATCCCTATAATTACAAATCATTGAAAAGCGCAGCGGTTACATTAATAAAATATATTATACATTGATTATGACGATTATACATTTATAAACATTAGCATATTAAATATTTAGGTATTTAGATAAATTGTATCTATTTCATTTAATGGAGATGCAATTAGTTATATTGTATCATTATATCAATGCAATTAATACTGTTATGATATAATTTAATATACGAAACGTATAAAAGCAGATAATTTGTAATATTATTTATTTGTAGTATTTATTTATTTATGTAGTATGTAGTATAATTTATTTGTAGTATTATTTTCCTTTAATTTCTTTTATTAGTAGATAAAATAACATAATAGATAAAATAATCGATAAAATAAGTGCTCATTACATATTTCTCAATCAAATTTTTTCACATAATTTAATATTCTACTTAAGAAAGCACATTATTTTAACAGAAATTAGAGAGAGAATTTATCGTCTTAATGACAGAAAGAAAGTAATCTAACATAATTTTAGATAAATTTATTAGTAATTTTTGAGACATATATATATATGTATATATATATATATATATATATATATACATATATATATATATGATGGGAGCAGACTTTGAAAATAGACGAGATAAGGAATGTTTAATTTTTTACGCGTCAAAGTGTAATTGCACGAAAGAATTTCAGATGCAAGTTGAGGGTCGTAATTAAGCATACGCGCAAAGCTCGTGAGGCAGCCGCAAAAAAAGACATGATTCCCTAAAAAATTAATACACGCCCCAGATATTAATATACATGGAACTCGTTCCCGTGATCGTACATTTTCCGAAGATGGTCGCATTGATGTTGAATAACGATAATCAGCGCGTCAGCTGCGCGCCATCAATTATTTGAGGTTCTTCCTCTCTTTTCTTCTTTTTGGTTTCTCTATTTTCAAATTTTGGGTGACATTCTCCCCATAATACGGAGTCTAACGAGTGTTTAATGTGTGTTCTCACCTCGTAACTTGATACCCCATTTATGTATCCGACAAAAAGGTTTAATTAATCGCAAAAAAAAAACTGGATTGCGCGATAATGACCCTCGGACGAAAGATTTAGAACGAGGATATGAATAGACGTAAGAAGATGATGCTACTTTTTAATTTATTGTTAGATATTTGTCCCTATTTGAGAAAAGGTATTAGAATTGATAAATTATATTGAAATGATGAATCAATTATATTATTATAATTAATATCGATATAATCTACGTTCATTTATTTTACTGACGAATTATCTCATTCTCTCCTAACGTTTATTTTGAATATTAAATTATGCATTCTGTTTGTACTAAAAATGTGTTTCAACATAAATATGCATAATCCCAATGCGAAATGAGGGAAGATGGAAATAAATTCGTCTCAAGCAACGAGATTTCATCTGGAGCACGTTTTCAGAGTTTAACCCTAATGAAGGATAATTGCGAAGTTATAGCAATTGTATAAAAACTGTAATAATTTAGCGCATAAAAAATAACATATTTCTGAAATTGTAAAAAAAATTAATTTAATTGCATTTTTTATTAAGGTGATCTATTTATAAAATTACATTATAATTTTTCGATTGTGCTATTAAAAATATCATAGGTTAGTATCAGGATAAATTTTTTAAATTTTAAAATTAATTTTTAACAAATATGTCAAAATGTTACAGTTTTGAAGCTATAAGCAATTAAATTTAAAATTTACTTTCAATTAAACGAATTGACATCGAAAATAAACAATTTTATCTTTTCTTCTCTTGACTAATTTTAAATAAATTTATAAAATAATTTAAAATAAAAAATCTACTAAAAAATTAAACATCAAATTTAAAAAAATACTCGTTTAAAGAATACTCTCTTAAATTCTTGAAAACAGTCAACACAAAAAATTTTCTTAATCATTATATGAGTAGATGATAAATTAACTGTATTTATTTTCATATTATCTTTCTTTAAGAAATATCAATCTTAAAAATCCTTTGAAATAAATAATTTGAATAAAAATGCGATCTTCCGATTTGTCTCCCTATACCATTCTACAAAGCAAGTCACGTACGAGTGCCGCGCGTTCTTACGAACTTGCGTAACGCTTAATCGTTCGGCGTTACGAGAAAAAAGTTACGCACTGCACGTCTGTCGCCTCACCGACGTGAAAAATGCATCGTGGCTGTTTACAATTTTAGATTTATTTCTGAACTATTACTGAACTATTACGTGACGTAGAGTACGCAATCAAATACGTTTGACAAAGTAGGAATATATTATAACTCCTCATTTTTTAGATTATTTATTAAGAACAGGAAAAAAATTTTCCTTCTGAAAACTACTGTTATGAAGAAGTATATGTGCAATGCATATTCACACACATAAATTTTAAATTTGAATTTAATACACATGTAATTTTATTAATTTTTCCGTTGGAAAAATTTATTAGAGAGCGAATTTTGTGACAAACTTCGAGACACATTCAAACATTTTTCATTATTTCTAACATGAATTTAGTTCTTTAATAAACTTTTCGATTTGTTTCATTCACTTTTCGATTAATTCCTACATTATTATAAAAATTATGTATATTATTTGCAAGGAGGAAATCAAGATTTGATATATTATTTCCAAAGGGAAAATCAACATTCGATTATCAAATATAAACACAGATCCAATTTATTCAGTTATTATATAGAAGAAAGGTACGCATAAATATCGAAATATTATACCGCAATTCAATTTCTCTTTTTATTCACTTAATAAAAAAAACAAGATTTAAGACTATTCGTTTATTCAGCTATTTATATTCCATTTCCAGCTTGTCTGAAAGAAAAATAATTCTTAAACCATCGCGTGCACCAATTTTCTAGTCGATAAAAATACTGCTGAGTGTCTTTGTTTGAGTGAATTTTTTGGTTATTACATTCTACGCGACGTTTTATATGCATTCGTAGTTTCCTATCGTCGTTTTTTCAATATGAAATATGGAGGGTGCCATTTGAGCCCGAGAGTGCGACAGTGTTAGGTTCGTGTCAGCATGGGGTGGCTTTCTTATGATTGGCTGCTACGGAAATGTCACGTTATACTTTATTCCCGGACGATTCTTTGGTTCTCTGATTTTGTTCCCGCGTATATTCGTCTGTATTTCGGCAAAAATGAGCTGACTTTGCCGAGAAAGTTTCTTATATCGCTACGGAATAGCATAGTTTTATTATTTGTCGGCAAGTTTTCCGTACCAATTGTTTCCTCTTCCAAAAGTAATTTCGTTGGCTTAATAAATTTTATACGTTCTCTTTATTCCATTTATACAAAATAAATATTTAAAATTTATTTTGTGAAAAAAAGTAATATTGCAAAATTATTGTATATTGACGCAGAGAAACATGCAATAATATAATTTTTGTTTAAATATAATTATCCATACGATGTAAATTTTTATTTTAAATAAATGTGTGCAATTTAATTATATACTTGTATATATTTGTTATAACATTTATATTTTTTATATATAAAAGAATATAAATGCTATAAATACAAAGTATATATATATATATATATATATATATATATATATATATATTTGCTCTTTTTTTATTTCAAGATCTTTTTTAAAAGTTACGGTCCAATATCGTGCCAGATACCTTCACGTCGCTACAATGCAGCTAAAAAGTAAGTTATCGCGGTTCACCAGGTCTGCCTTATTCGCTATTTCATTCCGTTCACGAGCGAGCGTACTCCTTTACCGCAAAAAGAGTGCCGTATGTTACGAAGCAATGTTCCCGCGGGGCTCCCTTCCTAGACCGCTTGTGTTCGGTGGATCGCGCTCATGCGCCTTGGGAGCGATTTTGGAGCGTCGAAGGAACGTGAATGGAACAACGACGACGACGACGACGACGACGATGACGACGGCGACGATCGGGGCGACGACGACCGGGGCAACGACGACCGGGGCGACGACATACGGGACGACGGTGCAAGGGAAAGAGGACCGATCTGAGAGAAGACTCAGTCTGGCCGCGCGCGCCACCGATCACTGTCGACTGTTGTTCTCACGTCGACAGCGGACTCCCGAATTTTGCGAATCAATCGCACGATCTTGCTTTGCAGCTTCATCCGAGACACCCCGTGCATTTCATCGCACTGAGATAACTTTTTTTATATAAACCAACCAACTTTTTACTTCTTTAATCGATCCTTGGATTCGGGAGAAAAAATTAAACGACTTAGAATAGTGACTTAAAACACAGCAAACTTGAAATTGCAAGGTGCTGGTTAAAAATAAGCGCGATAAAAGAATTCTGTCTCTGTAAATCTCTCTGTCGTATTCCAACCACCTGCTCATCTGCCATCTTTAAAAGTACGAAGCAAATGAGGCGGAGAACGTGCTACAGAGAGATGAGGCGCGAATAATCCCAAAGCAAGGACATCTCTTTGAAGCTTCCGTCAACTCGCGAATCTGACAACTTGCAAATTACGGATACGACGAAAGGTGAGGTAAGTAAAATACATTTATTAAATAGTCACAAATATTATCGTGTAAATAATTAGATCAACAAAAATTAACTAGATTATGAAACGTTACATAAATTTATTTTTTTATCCAGGAAATAATAATGGTCTTCCCTATTTATCATAAATGTAAATTTTTTTGAAATTTTTATTTTTTTATGTCAGACTGCAAATTAGGTGTTGAATTGTCTTTGAAAATCTTTAATTTTTAGAAGTGTATTTGAAGGAAACAGATTTATCGATTTTGCTCAAATAAGGTGAAACGCAAGCATTTATTTAAGTTTGAAATATACTTTATGTCTAGGACGTTCAAATAATTTAAAAACGGAAATTCTCGCGAGAACCATCATGTGATCTGAAAAATAGATAAAAACCTGGCGTGTAAAGTATAATGATTGGTCCAACGAACGATGCCAAGAAAGAGATCGCACGCGACATGCGAGAATAAACTAATAAGTTGCAAGCTATTCGGAATCCTCGGGAGTTAATGACTTCTCTAACAAAAGTGCTGTCACGTGCCAATGAAAAGCCAAATCGATAAATCATGATGCCAAGCTTTCACGTGTTAAGCAGATCATGATAGTAAATTGCGTTTGCGTGTTCCAAAATAAAATAACAAATCCAGAATTTATACGAGGGTAGTTCGAAAAGTTCTCGGCCTAATATAGAGATGTTGCTAAGAATATCAAATGGCTATGATTTTTCTCAAGTTTAATCCCTCAGAGGGCGTACCGCACAGTTTCAGACAGATTCGTTCGCTAGTTTGTTTACTGTGCTCGAGTAAAACAGACAAGATTTGATACTTCTCCAAAAATGGATAAAATTGAATATCGCGCAGTCATAAAATATTTCGTTTTAAAAGGATTAACGGCAACAGAAATAAAAAACGAGCTGGATTCCACTTTGGGAGACTCTTCTCCATCATTTTCAACAGTGAAGAAATGGGCTGCTGAATTTAAACGTGGCCGTTCATCCATCTTTGACGATGAACGTTCGGGTCGCCCGAAAACCGCCACGAATGAGGAAATCATTCAAAAAATCCACGATAGCGTGTTAAATGATCGACGAGTAAAAGTGCGTGAGCTTTCTAACATTGCAAACATCTCAACAGATCGTGTTCACAATATCTTACATGAACATTTGCATATGAAAAAGCTCTCAGCGCGATGGGTGCCGCGTTTGTTAACGGTCGATCAGAAACGCGGCACCCATCGTCGATCGCGGAAACGATCGTATTATACTGAGGGTATAAAAAAATTAGAACATCGTTGGTCTAAATGTATTGAGTTGAAAGGGGACTATGTTGAAAAATAAAAAAGATTTTTGCTGGAAATCATGTGTTTTCTTTGCCAGGCCGAGAACTTTTCGAACTACCCTCGTAGAATAGTTGTAACGTCGAAAGTTTATGTGTAAGATATTAATACCAGCAGACAAAAATTTCAGGTAATAAATATTATCTACAAAAATATATTCTTTTTTTATTTGGTCACGCAAGCTTTTAAATTAATTAAAGAGTTAATATTTTATCAAACGACACTTTTCAAATAATTGCGACAACTTTGTCGATATAAAAATTGTATCTAAGTAACTTATTCAAAATAAACTATTTTAAAATTCACACAGAAAGAGAGAGAGAGAGAGAGAGGGATTGTGTTTTCTATTCGCAAATATTAGATTCGCAAAAGTTATACGTGAGAGAGATCATATTCAAATTTGGATTTCATTTGCGCGGCTGTTCCGAATCTATCGCCGGATTAATGTATTCCATGTTGAGAAGCGCGAGGGATGCCACGAATTCTCATGAAACGCACGTCTCGCCACTGAAGATTACGGATCTACCGCCGGCGGAGAATCTAGATTGGGTGAAAACCGAGCTCGAACATTCAACCCACCCGTTAAGAGCAAGTTAGAGGAACACGAGAACGTCGCGTAATATGGACTAATTAGTGGAAAATTGCGATTATAATGCGACGAGATATTCGTGGCTCGACTAATGAATCTTGCGAGAAATAAATGAGACGAGATAAGACCGTCGGATTTTCCAAATCTTAATCGCTTTAATTTAATTTTTTCTATTATTTCTGTATATGTCTCTTACTAACAATTCTAGACAAATTGTTCCCTCCTATTTTTTTTTACAAATATCTATTATTACGGAATAATTAAATACATGTTGATTTCAGCTTCAACTTTCATCTATTTACCTATCTATCTATTAATTACTATCATCATTCCTCCTTTACATGAATGGAGGTTAATTCATTATCGATATATAGTATCTCATGTTTGTTAGCAGTTAACAATAATATTATCATGTACAGACTATCATATCATATCATATATTGCAATCATCACGTCATCGCTACCTTGCACGCACGATAACTGTTACACGACATAAATAAAGTGCGCACTTCCGCAAACGCAACCAACTATGGCCATTCATGTGTTTGCGACAAAAATTATCTGTATAATTTATTCTCTAAATTAAATCCAGCTTGTTATAGCTAACAATGTTAACGTTACCGTTCAGTTAAAATATAAATCGACGAGGAACTAATTAAAAAATCGACATTGTGTAGAAATTGCAGGTAAAGCCTGGGAAACGTATGCGACGTTGACGTAATGTGTAAAGAGGCGCGCCTAAAATTCTCTATGTAAAATATTCTACTATGTGACATAGATTCGAGATCACCTTTCTTAGGCGAAAGCGAATAGTGATTCACGGTGAATCACGTTCGCTATTCTCGAGGCTCATTCTTTTCTAATACAATGTCGTACAATTCGCGGTCGCGAGTGTCCTAGATATGAATTCTTTCTTATGGAGATTGCACGCTTATTTTATGCAGTCATGCATAAATAGATAAATTATTATACATAAATATATTATTATTACACATTAATACTATACTTTTTCACCTCATTATTTTATATATATAAATATACACTTCTACACTTCTTTATAGCTTTCACTATTTCTTGATGCTTATGACGTAAAGAAATGAAATTGTTATCTTGCGTAAGCTATAATCGAACATCATACATCGTGTAATCTCGATAGAACTCTAAGTTCTTCTCTGAAAAAGGCGCGACAATATATCCGGATTTTATCTCCATAAATTCTGTATCATAAATCCTACGAGATTTTCAATCCCATGGAATTTTCAATCCTGTAAAATACTACGATGGAGAGGTATTCGAGAGAAAAGAAGCGTCTCACACATTTTCTTCAATGAAATTTATCAGATTCCGTTTAATGCAACGCGATAAAAGCCGGTACCTGCAATGTAATAAGGTCACATACATGCGCGCATATTTCTTTCTATTCCATGCATTTTTCTGCAAAGGCCATAAATTTTCGTCGCGCAAACGCGTACTAAGTTCACATTGCATGAGCATACTTTGTTGAAATATATGCACTTTACAAATGCAAATCAATATTACATAATACACTGGCTAATATTATATAATGATAGAAATATATAATAGAATAATAATAAATATATAATAGAATAATAATAAATATATAATAGATATATGATAGAAATATATAATATTATAATGAATTTTATGTCTGTTATCTTCATACATTTCCATCCAAAAAATTAAATATAATATATTTAATAATGCATTTAGTAGTACATTTATTTAGTAATGCAAAGAAATTGTAATAAAAACATACACACGTTACATTATTCATTATTTTCTTTATAAGCCACATTATATACTATTGATGATTTAATTGTTTCAAAAATAAGAAAATTTCAAAAATATTTTTTTGACGTTTTTATACATTAGCGAAAATTTTTACTTTAAAAAGTGTAATAAAAAATGAAAAATGTAATCAAGATCGCTAAATATACATACATAAAAAAATATTTATTATAAATACAGATATTAAGTGTATAAGAATCAAAATATTTGTAGTGAAATCTGAAAGAATCTAATAAAATCTCTATTACAGGAATTTTCAATATAATTAATGCAATATTTAATATTTTATTATTTAATAATTTACAAAAATCGTGTAATAAATATAAAGTGATATTTAAAAAAATAATCATACTTATAAGTTCATGTTAAATATAAATCTTTTGAAAAAGTACAAGCTTTAAATAAATTGTGCTATTTGCGTAAATATGCAATCGTGTAAACTATTCCAAAACTATTCCGACCTCGTAACGCACGTTGATTTAGGAACAGCAGGTCTATTTGTAATCTTACGACGTGCTAATCGCGAAAGATTTATTTAGGCCAAACGGAAATGCGCGATTTGAATATCATATTTGTTGTACGTAGTTGTGAGCTGTTATTTTTCTTTGTATACTTCCTTCTTCCTATACTTTAATGATTTGCTACAACTTATTTATCTTACAATTAGAATTGAAACAAGATTAAATAATCTTTTAAATACGATAATATACAATTCTAAGTAATCTAAATATTCTAAATAATTCTATGTAATCTAAATATATACTAAATTTATATAGTTAATTTTTTATTTATTTTATTTATTTATTAATAATTCAACTGATATGTGCTGAAAAGCTTTTTATACAAAAAAATTAAATAACATTATTAATAAATAATCAATTACATCATCATTGCTTCACCATTGTTAGTTCAAAAACTAACAATGAATAAAGAAAATAATGCAAAAATATTATTTAATATTAATGCATGCCTATAATGTTTATTTTTTGTTATTATCGAAATCATGTTTATATAATATGACAAGTTCTGGTATTTTGCCAGTAAAAGATCGTAAAAGATCTTCCTCACATACCGGGTATTCTCGGCCGTTTAACCACTCGTTTCTGGCCTAATGAGCGGTTCATTAGCTGCATCCAGTACGGCTTTAAATCGCGGGCATAACGTGCGCATCCACGAAGATTAACTTTGCTTGATGTGCCGCCTTCACCGAATTAATAAGATAAATGGAACCGACAATTGTTCAGCGGCGTAATAAATACGTTTTTGGTCTTTTAATATTGTTGCGACCTCGATTTCGATCACCTCTCACGATTTCTTTTGCGTGATGAAAGAAAAAAAACCAAAAAAAGCGAGATGATATATAGACATAATTTAGACAATATTTTTATAATTACGGCAAAATACATAATCCATTCGATCATTCAATCATTCGTCAAATAGTCATTCGATCCAATTGTATTAATACATACTTCGTGAGAAAGTTCTACATAATTATTTAAAGATAAATTGAATTATGCATATAATATCCATAATTGATTGCACTTGATATGATTATTCTAGAGAAACGTTAACATTTTTGGATAATAAAATAATAAAATATTATCAGTTACACAAAGAGATACATATCATAAAATATTACTCTATCTTGTACAGTAAAAATTTTTCGATAACTTTAATTCATAAATCGAATTTTTCAATCACATATTTATATATCATAGTTATTTATATATAATTGTACTTGATTATAACTATCTAATAATTATGAGCTTTAACAATAATTACAGAAAATGTAAATAATTTTAACAAGCACAATAATGATTTATCCTTTCTAGTTTACAAACGAAATTCAACTTTCTATAGGTGCCATTCTAAGTAAATTTATATTATATATATGTATTAATCTTTGATATATCATTACTATGAAATGTATTCTGATGTCGATGGTTTTGTCGTACTGTTACATTTCCTTCTGCTACAAGAGTAGAAATTCATAAATTTTCCAGTTGCAAAGGGGGAAAGGATTGTAAATCACGAGCGACAAGCTGAAACGAGCGATTCGCGTAAAACGCGATCAATTGCGCCCGCAGCTCGTTTCCCATTTTTTTCCTCCCGGGCGACGTAATGCACGTCACGTCGAATAAAAAAACGCTCGCAGAGAGACTGGATTAGTCAACCGTAATTAGCGTCACGAGTTTTGCGCGCCGTTGGGCATGCTGTCAAAATGTCGGCCCGGGGGGGAAGCTCGAGCGCGATCGCTAACAACTCGTTGCGTCCACGTGCGTCTCTGGTTTCGCAATAAAATGTAAATCGGAGTTAAAATTCTCTTTCTCTTTCTCTTTCTCTTTGATCACATATAGTCGTCCTCCGGGCAAATTTCTCTATCCTGTTGGCTTAATCCTGGAGCGCACTCGTTATTCGATATGTACGCTTGCTTCTGTCAACAGGTATATAAATAATTTTCCATTGCAAAATATTATAAATACAAAACATTTTTATTTTCGTTACGTAAATACTGTAGAGTAAATAATGGCACGTGCAAACCATGAATTAATTTTGGATATTTCTTTTCAGAGTTGTTTCGTTTTCATTACTTCATTCTGTTTGTACATATTATTAAATTTACTATCGTTTATTCGATATATTTCACGAAATAATCTGTTTATCATAAAAGGGCATCTTCATATTTTAACGAGTTTAACACACATATTGCGATGTATATTTTATTAATTGTTCCGAGGAATGGATCGAAAGATATATAATACATGTCGAAATGTTCTCCACAGATTATATCTATAAATTTAATATTAATCCATACAATATAAAGTTATACATATCCGCTCTAAAAGAAAAATTAATATTAAGACGACAAGTCTATTCAATACATTGATTCTCTGCATCCGTGAATATGTCACGTTAATTGATACAAGGAATTGGATGTTGCGGCAATCGACATCGACGCATATTTGATTATTTCGTCGTCTAAGAGCAACGGTTGTAATCTCTACCGACATGATATCCAATGATGTAAAGTTTATTTAAATGAACACGCGAGCGTACCTGCAACTATAAATCATTATAATTACATTCAATTGATTTGTCTAGTTATGCAAATAAAACACAAACAGTTTTATCTTATCTCTATTCTGAATGAAAATCAATTTATTAAAAATATGATTAATTGATCTTCATTTGTTATTGAAAGTATTCCAAATAAAAGTAAGTTCGTTAGAGGTTTAAAATTTTATATTCCTAATGATATATTTTTATTTTTTTTATTTTATATCATTTTATAATCGTTGATTTATAATAAAAATAAATACATTTATTGAAATCCCATTTTTTAAATGCAATGCATTTTTATTTCGATCTAAATATATCGGGGTAATTATAAATAAATTAAAATACACACTTTATTAAAATAATTATTTCATTAAATGTTACGAGCGATATATGATCTATCCAAACGACATCGCAATAAATGATTATTTGATACAAAAATATTAGCCGTGACAATTTTAATCCGACAAAACTGCGTAATCGCTCTAAAATAAAACGAACGAATAAATCCTACAAATGCATCGTTTAATCGGTGATACAGGTAAACCTGAAAAAGTGGTACTGCGCTCCGTTAACCGCATTAATTCAGCGGCCGCGTTGCTCGTTAATTCGTCGATTGCATTGCAATCGAGTGTACGAGCCGTGCTACGTTTTGACGGGACGAGAATTGACTGTCAAAACTCGGCAAGCCGTAAGATTAAACAGCGGATCCACAGTTTGTCACCCGAGAATGTAAGCAATCGAGGTCGCAAAATACACGTTTCAAAATTTCACCAAAGACTATTACGCGATTAAAATGGTTCTTTTTACGAAATACATTGAATAAAAAGGTTTAGGTCAAATATATTAACCGATATAATCCAGATTTGGAAAAAAAGTGATTCAAAAATTTGCAAGATATATTTATAATAATTAATATAAATTTTAAAATAAAAATGTATGCAGAAATTAGTTTAAACTAAGTCTTTTTTTCATTATTGCATTGTTTATATAAAACATAAGTGTAAATAAGCAATTATTATTTTATATATTAATTGATATATAATATCTATTAGTTTTCGATTATGTATTAAAAATTCTACTATCAATTTCTGATTGAATTTAATAAAATTTGCCAAAGAGCGCCGACAATTATGGGGGGGCAATTTTTTTTCGCTAGAAAGAAATTTACAGCTGATGGCTAACACACGTATATCTGTGAAAGCGGCGCAGCAGGTAATTTAAGAACGAACGGTCAGCTCGTCGTCGGGGTTAATTGGTTCACTGCCTTTGGACAAATGTGTAACCGCCGTGCAATATCTATATAAGCACAGCATGGCATGCACTCTCCTCACGAATTATCTTGCACCTCGCGTGACGTTTGCCCCGCATCTTGCTGCATGCTTTCCCTTTATGGCCTCCCCTTACGGCGAGGAATGATGAAAAGGGCGAAATCGGCGCTGTCGAAAGTGCAATTTTCATCGAAGCCACACACATGCTCGCCAGATTTGCGACTTTTCCCACGATCGCATCGTCATAAATGATTATTCACCCATGTCGCGGATCCGAGCAAGCCATGCCAAAGTTGTCAATCAACTAATGTGTGACTTAATGCGTTTGTTTTTTACAAACGTATTCGCGAATCGTTCAATGTCTCGGTGACTGTCTGACCTTGAAGTCTTTACGCAACACCTCCGTAAAGCACTTAAACGCGGTTTGTTCAACGACCTGGCGGTTCGAACGTATTATTAAAATAGATCGCTATTAATAATGAGTCCGTCAGCACCGTCAGTATGGACTTCCAAAAGCTGATCTTCTGATAGATATCGTGTAGTGTCATACCAACGATCCTTCTGCAGCAAATATGCTGGATTTTGATGTTCGCACTCACGTGCACCATAATATATTTACACGCTATGCTGTCACCGAGGGCGAAATATATTTTTTTCGAAGACATTTATGAGACTCCGTGACTGGCAATAAATTTTAAGTATTTTATTCTTCACGCTTTTTCTCGAAAGCAACCATGAGTCAAATATGATAATAAGAAACAATATGATTGTATATATTATAACTAAAAAGTACATGTTTATAAAAATATGCATTTTTAATAAAAATTATTAGTTTTAATTTTTTCTGGATTTTAGTGGGATAAAATGATATTTTAACAACTTTTCTATTATATGCATATACAAAAAAAATTTTTTTTTTAAACAAATACTATACAATATCAAGAGAGAATAATTGTATATATACGCATGTATATTTATTTTATTTATTTAAAAGCAAGTAATTTTGTATATTTTTCAACACGATTGATCTCACACAAAAATAATGTCACTTTGTGTTTGTGGAGGAAATTCGAAGTATCTCAAATATACGGAGAAAATGTTGAGGAAGAGGAAGTTAGGTACACCGTGGGAGATTGATGGGGTTTATTGCGATCCCGTGGAGCTTACTGGTTTCATCCATTATCCACATTACAAGCACCCACCTGCATCTACCATCATGCTCTTACCGATAAACCTAGTAGACGAAAGATAAACGCGCGACTACCGCTATAGTTGATTTTACCTTCAATACTACAAGCGATCTAGTATAAATTAATTATTGGCTCAAAGGCGAATATAAACTTAATTGTGAAAATTACGTTATCATAGACTCTGATATTACACTATTACATGTATCTCGTCACAGGAAGGATGCGTTATACATACTAATAATATATGCAATAATAATGTAATATCCATTTTTATAGTCAATGTATATGCATTAAAATAAAAATATAAGCAAAAAATTCAAGTCTTTAAAATAAAATTAAAATCTCTCTCTCTCTCTCTCTATTTCTCTCTCTCTTTTTTTGTCATATTAATTTTTATATTGATATTTTATTTTAAAATACTATACTATAATTAAGGTACAAAGTGTCGTAACAAAAGTATAAGTTTTAATCGAAATCCAATTTAATTATCTCTTATTATATGTGTGATTCATTAATAAAAATTGTAATTAATCATCTCAATATTTATCTTATATAAAATGCACATGGCTAAAATTTTCAAGTAAAGTTTCTACAACATAAAAGAAAAACTTTTAATTTGTTAACACTATAATAAGAGAATATTTTCAAATATATATGTATTCAAATAAATTCATTTAAATAAAAAATTATGCAATACATTAGCAATATTTTCTATATAAAGGCTTCGCACAGTTGGGCATGCTACTGGCAAATGTGGAAAGGACGTGTCTGCTATTGACGGCGATCCACATTTTGCTCGATGATAAAGTCGTCGCGGAAACCTTCCTATTAGGGTACATCACCGGTTCAAAACGACGTCTAGAGGACTTCGAATATCAGCGACCAGGCTTTCGAATATCTGGAGCACTCACACTTGCCGTAGAGGAGGCGAGTAATTGTATTCCTGCCCTTCTTCCCTTTTTCCGCCTCCCCATGATACTATTGTCGACCATGATTAGCACCGCGGAAGTGAATAATTAAATTTAAGAATTTTAATCATGAGTTAACGGAAGCATGATGAAATGCTTATCCGTGAAACATCGATTATCTGTTAAACATCAATTAAGCGAAAGTAGAGCAACTTGTGATTACGCAGAAGAATTATACATGTATAATTTGTTTTTGAAAATTGTACAATATTATTATCATATGATTAGAACACAATTTAAAAAATATTTTATATAAACAAAAGAAAATTTTGTAAAATGATATATGTACGCTTCGCACTATATATCATAAAAAATATTGCTATTAAAATTCCATAAAGATTCAATAAAATTTATTATTTTCTAATAATCTTTAATCTCTTTATTTGAAAATATTCTTTTTAAATAAGTAATTTTACTTGAAATGCAGGTAAATGCTGGTGAACTTGGTAGACGAGGTCACAATTTGGAATTTCTCGTTGCTGAAACTTATGGAGAGGAAGAAACTAGCATTTTCAGTGTAGCTGATTTATGGGTCAAAAACGTTAGCGCTTACATCGGACCGCAAGAAACTTGCATTCACGAAGGCAGAATGGCCGCCGCATTTAACATTCCAATGATATCCTACGTAATACTTTTCTTTACATTAATCATTTTCTCTAATTATTTAAATTTTTACTCATACTATACTTGTATTTCTTTAAGATATGTCGACTTAAAATCGTTCTCTCTATATACATAAAATTTCTTCTATTTCTTTCTAGCCTTGCGCGCTATCGCGTAATTATAACCTGATTGCAAAAATTCCATAGAAAAAAAGAAAGAAATGTTTATAGCTAGCAATTTTTGCACTTCAAATTCTTCTCGGTATGCAGTTTTTATTTGATGCAATAAAAAAGAACTTTTAGTAGACTAAAAATAGAATGAATAAAAAACTTAATAACATATTAGAAAAATGAAATATTCTATTAAAGCTAAATCATGGAAATATTGAAAGGACATATATTAAAGGAACTAAAAATACAAATAATAGATTTAATATTTATTTTGTTTAAATATAATTGATTTTATGTTAGCATTTTTTTCTAAGATATAAATATTTTTAAAAATATTATTATATCTTATTTATATATGTATACATTCCAAAATCCAATAGTCACACTTGATTAATATAATTTAATGTAAATGTATTCCTTTATAGAAAAAAATATCTATTATTTATGAAATAAATAATATAGTAACATAAAATATTAAAACTTTGGTTAATATTTTAGAAACTATTTCACAGTTGCAAAAAATATAAAATATTTTCAATGGTTCTCAGTGGCAAACTCCTCGCGATTTTTCGATATAATTTGGTAGTTGAATGTTTAAATTTTCTCCCAAGAATAACGAACTATATATAATGAAGTAAATTATTTTCAATAAACAAAAATGAATATTATATAATGAAATAAATTATTTTCAATAAATAAATATGAATACACGATATTGCATTCGCTAACATTAAGACAGCTTATACACATATAAATTAAAAAATTAAGAAAAGAGAAAATCTAATTAATGACTGTTTTTGACTTTTCTAGTTTTGCACACATCACGAGACATCGAATAAAAAAGAATTTCCTACATTCGTCAGAACGCGACCGCCTGATACGCAAATCTCAAAATCAGTTGTGTCAGTACTGATGGCATTCAACTGGACAAAAGTGAGCATACTAAAAGTTTTATCTTTTTATAATCTCTTATATATTTTTTAAAATATGATTTGTATTATTTTATCTGCAGATAACGTTCATGTACATGAACAGTACCATGTTTGAGTTCAACAAAATGTCGACAATAGCGACGACAATTCTGACGTCTTTCGAAGCGGCCGGAATTAGTGTGACTTATCTTCGATCTTGGAGCGAACCTTATTATGTACATACGCACATGCAAAATCCATTCCACAAGCATGTCAGAGATACATATAGGGAGACTCGAAGTAAGTGTAATATTTATTTATAATATAATATATAACATGTAGTTTTAAATAATAATCATTCGTTTACACGTTATTAGATCAAAAAGAAATTGTAGCTTCACAATTTATAACGTATCTTTCATCATCGACAATTTATTTCGAAGTATGTAGGTCAGTTTCTAACATTAATCTTTCACGCAGGCTTTCATTTTTAGATCGAAGTTCACGTCCGATGATGTATATCTTTTCCCAATCGATTTGCATGCACGATTCAAAATAGATTACCCGCATTTCGAGTCTTTAATTTATACGTGACAAGATACGAAATGAAACTTACAATTAAGAAACAACTACCCGCATACTGCAGAAGCAAGTATGCTAACATGTGAATAGATTTAGCTTGTTATTTGTTTTATTAGTCACACATCTATTTGGACGTATTAAGAGAAGTCGAGTTCTAAAAATAAACATCTACGTGACTGCTTTTTGCAATCCTGATTCGATAGAGCGGACGCGATAAACTATAAACCGGAAAGAAGTTCCGATGGCGCGATTTTCTTAGTATAAATAACATTACAAAATCGCATTACAGTTTATGTCATTCTTGGGGAATACTTTGAGCATATTGGTCTCTTGATGGCTCTGGATGAAATGAATCTCTTGAAAAAAGGTATAAATATATTTACTAATAATCAGGTATATATATATCGAAAAATAATTAATTCATTAACCATAATTTTAATATCAACTTTTACATATCACGCATATGATTGTAAAATGTGTTATCATAAATCAAATACGTAAGAAATAGACAAATTAAAAAAAAGTCACATAACTGAGAAATATACCGCATCATTTAATAATTAATATTTTTATCTCTCATTGCCGTATAAACATTAATAAAATATAAGATACTGCAAATGATATAAAAGCGTCGGGAATAATATCATTTTTCATATAGTTTTATAGAGTTTCTTGTGTTCTTTTTATCGTCTGCAAAGGATTTAGTGCATTTTATGATAGGCGAATATTGGGTCGTCGGCGTCGACATCGAGCAATACGACGAGAAGCGGCCGGACAAGTATCTTCGTGGATTATGGCAAAAGGAGATGGATCTATCAATCGTGAATGCGTATCGCAGTTACTTCAGCATCGTCGCATCTGCTCCGATTAACTTTATGAATTTCACTCGTCTGGTCAATAAATACAGACAGAAACCACCATTCAATTTTACAAACCCGTTGGCAAAAGTCGGAGGAGTAGTTCAGGTGACTATTAGAGACGAGATTAGATTAAGAAAATGTTAAAAAATTCACCCCTTGTGTAAATTTAAAGATACAGTCTTATAAGACTTGAATTTTCTTTTTATCTAAGTTTCTGTTCTCTTTAAGTTTTAAAATTTATTCATTATTTTTCAATAGTACTTCTAATTAAAGGAATCAAATAAAGTTTTATATTTTTTACTGAAATAGAAAAATTTAGGACTTATAAAGTTTGCCCACATAAATATTACAGTATATTTAATTTTACTTGTTTTCTCATATGTTGCAAAATATTATATTTTTATTACATTTTATATTGCTTTTATTATTTTTATTATACTTTTATTCTCGTAAAAATTCTTATATGAAATCCTCTTAGAAATAATTCGTAGTGAAGAGAGAAGCTATTCATATAACCGAAAGTTTAACTCATGTTAAAACATTGTATGTACGCTAATGATGAGTTATAGTGTAGTCAAATTTAAGTGCACACTCAATTTATATAATAATAATATTCACATACTATCATATATTATTCATCGGGGACCACATTATAAATAACAACCTGTTCTATATGCAACGAATCATCCGCGATCTTTAAAATTATCACACTCGTTCGCTCTGTCATTATCGTCTTCTTTGCGACGACTCGTCAATTTATGTAATCCAGCAGCGATATCTCTCGAATGAATCGCACGAACGTACAACCGCACTCACCCCCAATTTCGAAGCGTAATCGTTATCTCATGTTATAAGGCAGATTGTGCCGGAGACAGCGTACCTATACGACGCCGTGCACCTTTACGAGAGATCACTCCTGCAGGCACTCGACGAGAACCGGGACCCTCGGAACGGTCGGGAGATGGTGTCCGCATTACATGGTGTTCATTATCGAAGCGCAATGGGGTATGTATGTGAGGAAATATGAGGAAAAGGCGCGAGCGCGATCGTAACATCGTAACGTTTTACGACATGCAAATCAAGTGCCTTACGTGGAGAACGTCACCCGGTAATTTCTCTCACCCGAAAGGCCAAGCCGAAGGAGAGCCTTGTACGCGTGCGGTATATTTTCGGCGAAGTAATTACCGTTTGCATATCGTAACGAGGTCGTCAAAGTCGGAAGCTAAGCGATTTATCATCTGAAATCGCTGCGCTAAGATTTGTGGCTCAGTGATTAAGGTAGAGTTATTATGCGTCCTTCTCTCGACGGGTGAGAACGCCCGTCGAGAAAAAGAGATTTGTCTGACGATTAAGAACGAATGTTCCGCATCCTTATGAAGACAAAACGAAAGTGTTCGTCAAAACGGGAGACGTTTCAATCCCTTCGCTAGAGTGTCAGTCTGTAACGGTATTTTGTTATTAGTAAAATACCAGAATTTCTGTCACAATGTATACATAAAGTAATATCATATTTTTATTGCACAAAGAATAATACTTATAGGTACTATCTTGCTTTTCGAATCAAAATTACATTCAAAAAGATACCAAACAGAAAGCATCATGTTAAGCAATTTATAATCCTATAATTAATATTTTAACATGTATTTTCTAATTTAACCACTTTTCTATCTTAATCTTTTTATAAATGAATTATGTAAATTTCCTTTCCAATTAAATATTGTAAATACGTGTACTAGAATCGCCTTGTAATTCATAGCTATTCTATCTAATGGACTGAACTGATTGTGAGCCTAAGTGAGCATAACGGAATTCGCACATTATATGCATAATCAATTCTAGCTATATGGTCTACATGGATGAGAATGGAGATGCTGAGGGAAATTATACTCTGATTGCATTGGATGATCGACCTACAAAAGGTTACGGACTTTATCCGATAGGCTATTTCGTTGGAAAAGAGCAAGGCACAAATTTGCCAGTAAGGAAACTATTTTTCTTGCCAACACATTCTTTTTGTTTTCAAAATAAAGAAGTATTAAGAAAATAGTTGTAATACAGTATAATACAATATAACACAGATACAAGTTTGATATTATTAAACATATAAAAAATGCATAGAATATTTGACTCCTTATCTTTAAATTACAAAGCTGCATTAATAATTATATGTAACTATTGTAAATATATATATTCATATAAAAATAAGGTTAATAAGGGTAAATGGAAATAATTCTCCTTTGATCTTTAGAAACTTCGCTTAACAAAGGAAATGTCATGGCTTTTTGGAGAGGGAGGACCACCAGTTGCAGAACCTCATTGCGGATATCACGGTGAAAAATGTAATTGTAGGTAAAATATATATAAATTTTTATATTTAATTAATTACGCTAATATGTTCTCCTTATTTAATTATTTATATATCAATATCCTTTTTTATAAAAACATATATGGTACACATATTTTGAAAAAAAACCAGGAATTAAATATAATATTTGAATTTTATACTTTCTCTAAAGTATGTGTATAATCTATATAAAAACTTTTTATAATAATAGTTAATGCTATTGTAGTTTATACTGGCGAAATTGTGGGAGGTATAGTCGGTGGATTATTGCTTATTATCACAGCAGTCTCTCTGATCCTTTATAAGAACTGGAAATATGAGCAAGCATTGGACAGTTTGCTCTGGAAAGTTAACTACAAAGACATTCAGATCAAGGAGCAGAAGAACGAAACGATTGGAGCTAACGAGACGCCTGCCAAATGCAATTCCAAGGTAATTGTCTGCCTTAATATTATTGCGATATATCTAATATCGCCATTTTTATGAAAATTTTTATTTTAATAAATTTGTTTCTTCATTTGATTGCATAGTAATCGAATAATTGATTGCGATCAAAGCGATTGATTGCATAGTAATCGAAATCATTTATTCGAATTTTTAATTTCGTTTTGATAGAGACTATAGAGTTTTAATAAATCTGCAATATATATATATATATATATATATATATATATATATATTTGTTACCAAAATATCCAAAATACGCAATAAAATAATCTTAGATACATATTATAATTACAATATTTTTTTCTTGTTAAAGCCAACAACGCAACCTATAGTGCGAACTAGCCAAGTATCGCTAAGTTCGAATCCCGATGCAGACTTCCGATATTCCATGATTTATACGCAAATTGGAATATATAAAGGACGTATTTTTGCTGTTAAGAAAGTCAGGAAGAAATCGATTGAAATTACACGAGAAATGAAAAAAGAATTGAAAATAGTAATGTTTATTAACCCAAAAATTTTAATTTAATTTAATTTCTAATTGCAGTGCGATAACTGTTATTAAGCAATTATGATTGAATAATTATATTTATTATTAAAACGATAAATTTTCAGATGCGCGATTTGCGACATGATAATCTCAATGCATTTATCGGTGCATGTACCGATCCACCTCATATATGCATCATCGTAGAATATTGTGCACGTGGAAGTCTTAAGGTAATATTATAATTAATATAATTATTATTATGATTATCGATTAAGTTATAAAACCATTATTGTATTGTACTAATTTTTGTAATTTCGAATTTCCGACAAAACACAATAAGATATTTTTTGCAGGATATATTGGAAAATGAAAATATAAAATTGGATAACATGTTTGTTGCTTCTCTTGTGGGAGACATCATTAGAGTAAGTTTCCATCAATATTATTTTCACCTATTTTAGTAGAGTGCTTTTTATTTTTAAACTTTATCCGATATATTTTCTTTTGCAAAAAAAATTACAATTAAAATTCTTTTCACGCAATATCAGATTGCATGTCCGTGACATGAGAAAGCCAATTTCCAAACTTGTTTATATTGTGTCCGTTCGAAACTTCGACAGCTCTACAATAATCAATATATTTAGAAATTCTTCTTTTTACAATTTAATTTGTTAAATTTTAATTACAATACTCTATGTTTTATTATTTTTTCTAAAAAGACTTTTTTAAGAAGACATTTTTTGCAAGCAAATATATAGAAATATATATAAAAACAATAAAATTTTTTCGGATATTATGTAACTGAAATAATTTATTCTATATTTTTTATTTTTGTTTTTCTTTTAAAAAAATTACCTCTCTTTTCGTTAATTGTAGTTTATTACAAATTCTTTATATATTACAAAAAATTTAACTGTATACATATAAAAGTAATTAAGATAAAATAATGTTTTATTATTCAATAGCTTGCAACATTCTTATAATGTAGTAAATAAAATAATGTCTTCCTGCATTTCAATTTTACACCCGAGAGATTTTAACTTTTTTTATATTCAATCACGTTTTTTATATTCAATCTAAATACTATCATTCCTTAGATATGAATGAATATTATCCTGTAGGGCATGATCTATCTTCACGAGTCGATCATAAAATATCATGGCTCTTTGAGCACGTCTAACTGTTTGGTGGATTCACGATGGGTCGTAAAACTTGCGGATTTCGGTCTCCATGAGTTCAAGCGAGATGCGGAATGCGATCCTTCCGACGTCATAAAAAAATATCACGGTAAGAAAAGGAACGAGAAAGAAAAAAATAGAGAGAGAGAGAGAGAGAGAGAGAGAGAGAGAGAGAGAGAGAGAGAGAGAGAGAGAGAGAGAGAGAGAGAGAGAACGGTGAAAGAGAACAATAAGAGAAATTTTTATATTCTATATTATATTATTATTATTTTTGAACTTTTAAAATTTTCATTTGTCGATGATATTTTGTGATCTTGTAATTTTCATTAGAATACGACTACAAATCTATTCATGTTTATCATCATGTTTATCGTATAATGATCGATATATAATTTTATATCATATAATATTAATTAATATTTTGTTATGCAATTTTCATAGCATTATTATACAAAGCCCCTGAGTTATTACGCTCTACTCGCTATCTCGAGAAGCCAAATATTCGGGATTTTCAAAAGGGTGATGTCTATTCATTTGCTATAATTTTATATGAACTGCAAGGGAGACATGGCCCATTTGGCGTTACGGAATTATCAGCGGCCGAAATATTGAAGAAAATCATTGCGAAAGATTCGGGAACGCCACCATTCAGGTAAATTATTAAACTATCAGAAAATTTATGTTTTTAATTAACAATTTTGAGCATGCTTTTCATAAAATAATTTCAGACCTCCATTGAATCAACTGGAGAACACATTCGATTTTGTCCGTGAATGTTTGTTAGAATGTTGGGCAGAAAATTCAGAATTGCGTCCGGATTTCAAGATGATAAGAAACAAATTGCGACCATTGCGAAAGGGCATGTCAGTCATATTTTATAATATTATATATAAAATAATATTTCGTTAATAGTTAATTCATATTAATTTGCAAAATAAAATATTTCTAGACAGTTTGAATTAAATTTGATCAGTCGAATTATAATAAATATAACTCACGTTTTTGCAGGAAAGCAAATATCTTCGACAATATGATGGCGATGATGGAAAAGTATGCGAATAATCTTGAAGCTTTGGTTGATGAACGTACTGATCAGTTGACCGAGGAGAAAAAGAAAACAGGTCAGTCATCTAAAAAAATCAACAAAATTTAATTTTATTATTACAAAATGTACATTATATATAATGAACATTGTTTTCTCATAGATAAAAATAGATAATTGAATTATACAAACATAATTATAATAAATATCCTATCCCTTTTCAGACGCGCTGTTATACGAAATGCTACCACGTTATGTAGCTGAACAATTAAAAAAAGGACATAAAGTGGAAGCTGAAAGCTTCGATTGCGTCACAATATATTTTAGCGACATTGTCGGTTTCACGTCCATGTCTGCAGAAAGCACGCCATTACAAGTGAGAATTTATGTAATAATAAACATGTTACAAGTACAACAATAAATTTAATTAATTTATTTATTTATTTAATTATTTAATTTAATTATTAATTAATTAATTTATTTATTATAGTATTTTTCTTTTACTTAAAAAAGAGACGACTAAATTTATAAATAGTTATACAATTTTTAATAATAAATATTACAATTTTTATTTTGAAAAAGGTTGTCAACTTTTTGAACGATCTCTATACATGCTTCGATTCCACGATCGAAAATTATGATGTTTACAAAGTGGAAACAATTGGGGACGCTTACATGGTGGTAAATATTACAAAATTGAAAATAGTCACAGAATTATTAAAAACTCCGTGATTACGTAAATGGCGAATAAATATTTGTCAAATACGTCATTTATTACATGCGTTTGTTTCTTCACGTAGGTGAGTGGCTTACCGATAAGAAACGATATTCAACATGCTGCTGAAATAGCAAGTATGTCATTATGTCTTTTAGAAGCTATTAAGCAGTTTACTATTCGGCACAGGCCACTTGACAAACTGCAATTGCGGATAGGAATACATTCCGGTAAGCATAAAAGATATCCATATAAAAATAATGATAAAATAATTCTAATTATATTAATAATTATAATTATATTGCGATCTAATGATAATTAGCAAGGATGAGAAGGTTTCTGATGTTTCAGCGATATTAATAATAATATAATGATTATTTCGATAGGTCCAGTATGCGCTGGTGTGGTTGGGTTGAAAATGCCAAGGTACTGTTTGTTCGGAGATACAGTGAACACAGCATCGCGTATGGAATCTACAGGATTACGTAAGTTTGGAAATTATTATTAGTTATATTTTTATAACATTAATATTTGTAATTAGCATGTCGCAAGTTTTCTATAAATCATGTTTTTATAATTTGTAGCCCTCAAGATTCACTGCAGCAACGAAACAAAGCAATTATTGGATGAATTAGAGGGATTTAGTCTTATCGAACGCGGTGTGATTTCCATAAAAGGCAAGGGCGAGCGTCTTACATATTGGTTAATCGGAGAGGATCCGATTTTACGTAATAAGCGTAGCAAGGAAAGAGCGAGTAAACGAAACGATGATAATAAGATCACCACGGCTGATCCCTTGATTCCTCGAAGTTCCTTGAAAAATAAGTCTCTTGTCAGAGCCACTTTCACAAGATGCTCCAGCGAGTCGCCGAAACGTTTACGATTCGCTAGCTCGGATCAGCTCGATCATAAGAGTTCCAGAGTGAATAGTCAACTGGAATCGATAGTCGACAACAGTCCTTGCAAGATAAAAATCTCATGCGCGTTACGATCGTCTTGCATGGAAAGCTGGAGATCTTCCAGCAACTCGTGTCCTTGCGTGGAAAAGCTCTGCGATCAAGAAGTTCAACCGCAACTGGTGGAACATGAATTACCAACATACAATTTAACTGACATTAAAAACGTGCCGTTGCTCCAAACCAACCTGATTTTCGGTAACGAGTCGTGTCTGCGAACTGGAACCAAGAACTTCCGCTTCGGCACATCTGGGATACTTCAAATTACTTGTAGATCCGCGCCCAGTAGCCCTCGACATAGCTCGACAGTGTTAAATGCCAAGAAAAGAGCGGCGCAGTCGAACGAGGAAATCGATGGATGGGACGCAATAACACCCCTGATCTATTATCCAGATAGTCGTTTGGATTGAAAGGATATGTCCACGATCGACAAAAATCGAACAAAAATCAAATGTAGTAACCGAGAAAGAAAGAGAGATAAAGAATCAATTTAGAAAGATTAATTCGCCTAGAAATAGAAATATCTCTGTAGGAATAATGACAATCGAAAATCCTGCAAACACGACATTTTGCTGGATTTATTTTTATTTATATCAATCACTTGCTAATAATTGTGTCAGTTAGTACATTTTCTAACGAGATTTCTTGTTTACATCGCATACATATGACGCATCAAAGCATTACATACAAACAACACTTTTACACGTATACGCATCAATACTATAATATACAATATATATATAGCAGAAACAACAATACATTATCATGTAACAATAATAAATCTCTTATGTTAGCATAGACAATCATAAAAGGCTCGTGCTTCTTAAATAAAAGTCTAGTCAATGTTATTTTAAGTTCTATATTCATATTTTGTTAAATATTAAAGAAAGGAAATTGATACTTATGATGAGTATTACATGTGCGTGAATATGTTTATCTCAATAAACAAAAAAGAAGGGAAGAAAAGAGACACAAAAGTATTATTAATATAATTTTAAACATGATTAATTAATACGATTATTCTATTTAATAAATACTATATTTATTTTTAGAAAAAATCTGTTCTTATGCTATACAGTGCTTCTTTTTAAAGTTCTGTATGTCTGAAAAAATGTTAAATTAACATTTTTTTCCGTATGTCACCGAAAATAAATGCTGATAAGATAAACGCTGATTAAAACCAATATTTTATTTTTAGAATACCCATTTTATACGCTAAATACCTTTTAGTTTTTACATTAATGATTTATACATGTTAATGATAGAAAATTATGGAATAATTATATTATTTTTGAATCATATATTTTTTTCTTCATTTTTAGATAATCAATTTTAAAAATTGTGTGAGATTAAATACGCAAAGTGAAAGAAAAGAGCATACTTTTGTTATCCGGCTTCTAAATCTATAATTGTGTATTACAATACACGACTTAATTTACGTAGATTTTATATAAGTGCAATGGCTTCAAACATAACTCGGCACACGCGAACGAAGCGTGATAGAGCGCGGCAGCGATAACACAAAGATTCATTACGTTATTATTACTGAGGAAATTAATTAAACATGATTGTGGCGCGAGTCGGCGTGATCGCATATTACGCGTATATTTCTATTCCCCTTTTATCTTTCGCGTATAACTGACTACTCGACATTTAAAAAAAAACAGACAAAATTGACTCGTATCGAAGAAAATGACAATCGCGTAAAAGACATCAGTCGCACTAAAAAGGAAGAAAAGAAAATAAGATGATTCGAGATTATTTATGCATTAATAAAATTTTTCTATAATATTACTAAACATTTTCGATAAATCTTCGTGCCGCTTCGTTTACACGAATGTATATTGAGTTATTATCTTCCAGGCGCATGTACTGTATCTGTTCCTATCACACTTTGATGTCTGACTTTAAATAACGATTTAATAATTATTTTAACTTAAATCTAAGGCCTGTCTTATTAAAAAGACTGTCAAGTATAATGGAAATATTCAGTCAACAATAAATGCATTAAGATGTGATGTAATAATAATGTAAAATAATCTAGATACATTTAAAATTATGTTTACACTATGAATTTATGTTCAAATGCCATAATGCAAAGTCATTTACTTACTATGTTATAACATAAATTAAACCATTAACTTGAATAATATTAAATTCAATATATATCAAAATATGTATTGAATCTAATATTATTCAAGTATATGCAGTGGTGAGAGTTATTATACAATCTGATAATCTCGATCTTAAAATAATATCTGAAAAAATCTTGTGTTAAATTTGAAAAATTAATCGCAAAATCTGAAATTGAAAATATGACGATAAAAAGATTAGAGAAGTGAGTCTTTACTTCAATTTGCACGCTTGGTTACATCTCGGGAACGCGTGACGACAAAAGTGGCGACAGTATGTCCCGCCTTTGCCTACGTGCGAACAAGTCGTGCAAATACAAAACCGACTTCTAAATTTATTGCACGAATTACTGTCCGCAAGCGTTTGCATCTCGCACTTGGCCGAGCTTAATCGGAAGAATTAAAATCAATATTTTATTGAATAAAAATGGAATTCAATTTCGACACTTTATCATCCGTCATCTAACAAGTAATTGACGGAAGATAACGAAATACTGATAACAGATTCGAAAATATTAAACGTCAAAATATATCATTTGGGTCGAATAATTGGTACTCTTGGTTCAGAGGAGACAATTGTAATCAATATTGATTATAACAAAATAATATATAATGATATTATTTATATATAAAATAAACATATATAAAATGAATAAATATATAAAATAATATATAAAATATTAGATGACTCGCTGCGAATAAGCAGACACCCTGTATAACGAGGCGACTCTTTTTTTTATATACAAAATGGGGTACCCCGTCTTATTTACATTGAAGTGGTTGTCGGCCAACTTAGAGCTATGGCCATCATTCAATCAAGCCGAACAATTTAAACAGCCCGGATTCACGCAGCGAAATCATTTAATATTTGACGTCAAGCATACGATTATCGTATAACGGTACGTAATAGCCGTTTGTTTGTACAGGTTGCAAGCGGCGCCGTAATTTTCAAATGGTATATCTCTGACCCCCCCCTCTCCCTAAGAACGACGTTACTGAGCGTTGTTAACAATGTTGCAAAACTCTGCATACGCTCATAAATGAAAGTATGAGTAGATGATACGCGCGCGATAAATTTCTTGACGTGATTTGTCGTAATAAAATTTTAATTTACACTGTCAATGAAAAATTAGTGTCAATATTACGCCTCTATGGTGTATCAAAGTATAGCAAAACGCAATAATATTTAAATATTTTTTTAAATGTATTATTTGGAATGAAATTAAATTAGAAATCGCATTACTCATCCAGCAAAATTTGCAATTGATTTTGCGATACAAATTTTTAGAATATACTAACTTTTCCTATTCTAGATATAGACTCTTACAACGTAATTTTCATGTAAAATTAATGATATTTGCATTTAAAATTATATTTGCATGTAAAATTAATTATATTTGCATTCTGTTATATTAAACGCTAATTCTTGAATATACCTAAAATTATGCACAAGCACTTGTATGATATGTTTGATAAAATTACACATATAAGAAACCTATTATTATAGATTTATTATATTACTAATCTATTATTTTACTGATATTGTATACGGAAGAGAAATTAATTAATTCTATCTTTTAAATATGAAAATAATATTCTACTAAAGACATATATAGATATGACTAATAGACCAGACTTTATGATACATATTAATGTTAATCGTTGCCACGGTAGAACGTTATTTTGACTTCACACTCGAGCGCATACGGTCTCTAGAACGTGCTTTTATTAGACTCTCTTTCTGCTGGCTGTATCTATTTATAGATGTGGAATTATCTTCATCCGTCGTAGAAACAATACAATGATAAAAAGAAAAAAAAGTAATGTCATGCGGGAGAATAACGATGTTAACCGCGACGTTTGTATTGTGTGTCGCGAGAGACGAAGAGACGCTCGTTAGTAAATCGAAGAATTATGATCGATCGAATCGAAAACGAGAAGTCGACGAGAAGTCGACGAGAAGTTTATTAGAACAAACTCGAGAAAAAGACGACCTCGTCCTCCCATCGTATATCGCGATTTGAAAATTTTCTCTCGTAGAAACCGCGAGACGCGATTCTATCTCTGCGTAACGCGTTCGCTCGCACCTGCGGCGAAAACGAGTTGTTGTCCACGCACATGCGGTTACTTTACATAAGATATGCGCGCTTAGGCTCAAAATAAACTCGTCGTAGCGATTCGACACGTTCGATCGCAACGACCGACATCGTTGTCATTTAGCCTGATTTCCATCGGCATGGTACGCTTGGCCGGCGAGCAAGCTCGACTTCTTCGAGCGAGTGTTCGTGTTGAGTCTCTTCGTATTCGATAATGATTTCGATTAAAGTTGTAAAATAACTCTTAAAACTGCACATCATTATATTCAATTATTTTGAAATTATTTTCTCTCTCTCTCTCTCTCATATCTTTATAATAAATTATTCCAATTAACACTTTAGGAATCTGATTTTTTTTAATATTGAAAAAAAAATATAATTTTGATTGCATAAAGTATTATAAAAGTATTTTCTGTCTAACAGATACTCGCAATATTTAATATTGCATTTCTATATGAGTCTCATTAAATTTGATTTTTGTGTGTGTGTGATTGTAAAATCCAAATCTTTAACAGTATCGCGTAAAAAAGAGATAAAGAGAAAAAGACGCGAATGAAGAGATCCGCGCATGTAACACATGCAGCAGTATTCGATATGAATATGAGTATATATCATACATATGACAAGCGCCGAATGTTGACACTCACAGAAAAAAAGATAAGATAGCAGTTGTTAGCAGCCAATCGGCGTTTCTGTGCTTTACCATCTACGTCACTGTTGCTAACTGTGGTTAAATGTACATACGGTACCGTAGTAAATTGATTATTATTTTTTAATAGTCGCAATCTTCTCAATGTCACTGCGTAGAAAAATCAATGTTGCGATCCATCGATAAATTATATAGACCGGTCGATGTCGTTTGCGCGTTTACCTTTCCTTCCGGTCCAAAGTGTCCCTTCGAAATACTTAAGATAAAGACGGGAGAAGAAAAAAAACTAGCACGAATGTTGGAAAATTTATACAGAGATAATGAGCCGAGGAGAGATACAAATGAAGGCGCGAGCGAAATTAATCGGAGTAGATGAAAGGCCACTTTTTTCGGGATATGCGTCATGCATGTAGAAGAAGATCGTTTTCTGGTCGTGAAAGTCAACAAGTTTCCAGAAGATTGATCTTCGAATTAATGTTGCACAGGCTTTCAGCACCCGAAATAACCATCCGATACTTCCACTACTCACTTATCCGTAATCGTCATTTTTGTATCATGAAACCCCGGGAAGATAGGAACGATCTCCTTTTTCTGCCAACTCGGGCTCCTCAAATTGGATGGCAAATTCAATCGCGATGATGCTATTTCGCGAAGTTATCATACCGAAGAGACTACTTTCTTTGAAACGTGACTCTCATTATCGCTTCTCATTATTTACCAGTGCTGTTTTACGAGCACGTGCAATCGTGGCGTGTTTGTTATGGCAGGGTACCATGGATAAAAATAAGAATTCGCATAAATTTCTGTTTAAATTATTTTCATCGACTGGATTTAATATTTAAATGTTATTAGTGCGCGATTGTGGAAGATTGAAGAGAGATATTACACGCGTTATATTTAAATGTCTGCGCTCAGATAAAAAAAAGTGATTTAAAAGAATAAAATTTCTTACGATTTTTTCGAACGACTTTTTACGATTTGAATTTCATTTCTAGTTTTGGCGAATGAATCGGTGATTCGTGCAACATCGACAACCTTCTTCTCATAACAACATCGTGTCATTAAAGTCGTAAAGTCGTGCTTACGACTGTCAATCGTGCTTACAGTACGTGCCCGGAAAGCAAAGTGTCTCGCGCTCTCGACGGAACTTGAGCAAATAACGTTAGGCTGTTTAACTGCGACTCGTAAATAAGATTACAGCAGACTATGGATTTGCAAACAATTAGGGTGTAAATGAGCGTTGGCGACGTACGTGCTTGTCGCCGAATATGTCACACGATTTACAGGTATTCTTGCTCATACATATGCGAACACGAGTTGAAAATCAATTCTATTTAGTTTTACGTTTGCGAAAAATATCATCGCGTTATTGAAATATTATTGTAGGAAAATAAATTTCCTAGTTTTATATTACAAATATTCTATTTCTTTAATTATTGCTCTAATTCGTTTTAAAAAAGCTGTGTTTTAACACGATTATTTATAATGCTTGCTCTATCAATGTGATTGTTATTTATTTTTACCTATTTTATTTTCAATTACTATATATTATTACGAGAATGTGAGGTAGGCATGATATTGTGAGCGACGAGGTTTTTCGTACATTTTCTATTTACATACAAAACGCGCGAATAAACAAAAGCGACAGTCAATATACAAACAAAAAATTCGTGAAACATACAAAAAAGTACTGAAAAGCGCAAAAATGATGATAACCACGCTGCGAACGATAAGCAGAAGTCTCTAAAAATATCCTCAATATGACCGCACGGCGCAAGAGCGTGTGATGAAATACTTCATATACCGCGCGTGTCGTCATAAGAAGTCGCATATGATATAAATTGTTCGCTATTGAATGACATTTCATAAAATACACACAATATATAGTATATAAAGAAATAAAGAGAAACAAAATTATCGCGATATATATATTGTATGAAAACAATTAATGTATATATATAGATAATATATGCATAGTTATTTTTATTATATATGTATATACATTTTTCTTACGAATTTAATTTTCATATTAAGAGAAATGAACTTAATTTTATATTAAAAATAAAATATTTGTTTTCTGTTTAAGTATTAAAATGTTATTGCACTGAGAGAGGGGGAGGGAGAGAAAGAGAGAGAGAGAGAAGAGAGTTGTAACATAAATAAAGTTTTCTCACTCACATCAAATTGCAATAACATTTTAATATTTAAATGGAAAACAAATATTTTATTTTTAATATAAAATTAAGTTCATTTCCCTTAATATAAAAATTAAATTCGTAATTTATAAAATCAAAATTAAATTCGTAAATTATCAAATTAAATTCATTTCTCTAGACTAGATCGTAGCTTATTTTGTATGTAAATTCGAATACAGATAAATGTAAATTGATCATGCTAATCACCAAATTTGCTTGAATTACTGTGCACACAACAAATTATCGAGCGCGTTAAATCGCATTGAAAAAAATAACAATCTTGAACGTCATTTACATTTAATACCGTGCTTGAAGGTTACCGAATCTCTAGACAAAGTGCTCGTTATATGATCCCATGGCTTACGTGTTTGAATTCACGCAACTTTTTATGAACGAAAGATTTTTCATGCAAATTTAACTGACAAACAAAATTAAACTCTGTACTGTTGCATCGAAGTGTGTATCTGTGTAAATATATATATATATATATATATATATATATATATATGTATAACCTGACATTTTTTTAAAAAGTTTGTTTTTATCTTAGATGCAAAATGCAAGGGTTAAAATATAAAAAATTATTTTTAATAAAAATATTATGAGAATTGCTAAAACTGTAAGATTGTATCAATTAGTTCTAATTGTATTTGAGAGATGTGTATGTTACATGCGATATATATATTTCTAACAATAATTAATGTTACATAATTAATTTTTTTGTATCGGTCATGAAAATTTCCAGAATTACGCTTCAATCATATTAATTAGCGATCATCTCATATTATCGTTTCAAATCTAGGAACATTGCGATAACTAGAAATTTTTAAACATTACGAGCTTGCGAATTTTCAATAAGTATCTATGTTCTCGTAAGATCTTTCGCGCATGTATTCATGCTGTACTCGCCAAACTATAAATAAAATGAAACAAGAAACTTTTTCCTTCGATAAGATTATACCGGAAGGATTATCGGTAGCATATCGCATCCGCACAATTATATAATATCAAAAATATTTCCGTCACTTCACAATAAGCAATCAGTTTGTCCGGATTCGCTCGAAATAGTTCATGGTAGCGAGTGAAAACGAGTCTCGTTCCGTTTTCATACCAATTATAATCAGGCTTAATTCTACCCTTACCTCTATCGAGATCCAGGAAATCGAGGCGAGAGATCATCGATAGTCCAATGTAACAATCATCCCGTGGGATCATCCGGAGCACGTCGCGTTGAAAGAAACGATCGCCATCGATCACGCGCGAACGAGTTGATTTTTCGAAGACGTGCGCGCGCCATTCGGCGATCGCGATCGACCTGCGCGCCGCCGCGGTGGCGCCCCCTCACAGCGAGTGCCGGCACTAAAGGCCCCACCGGGACCGTCGTTGCGCCGCGTCCGCTCAGTGTGTTGCGGGCCTTGCTTACGTGTGGTTGTGCGCGTCAGAGTAGCGAATCGCGAGTGCGAGCGATCGTCGCGGCGAGAGAGCGAATCGCGCGCCCAAAGTCGAGTACGCGGAGAAGGTAGCGGCGAATCAGTTACGCCCGTGTCTTCTCTTACTCTCTCTTCTCTTTCTCTCTGTGATCAACGTTTACGCGCGATCGACTTATTCGCGCTTCGTGTCTTATCATTCGCACGATGCCGCACGCGCTCGCCTAAGTGTCTCTTTCTCGCTCGCGGAGTTTTCGAAAGTCCCGGAAAAAGGAAAGGAGAGAAGCGGATGCGCGCGCGCGCTTCTCTCTCCCTCTCTCTCTCTATGCGTTAGTGGTGCGTCGCGCTACAGCTACACGGGCGTCCTTCCGCGTTCCCGATCTCGAGTGCGCGCTCGCGCATTCGCCCTCGGATTCTAACAGCTAACTTGCAATAGTGAAGTGTGATCTCGTTTTCCGTCCTTACGGTCGTCGCTCTCTCCGGTTACCGCCGCGCGCGGGGATCAGTTAACCTCGCGAGGTCTCGTGCGACTTTTGCCCGGGATATATCCCCCTCGCGAAGCGAGAGAGGGGGGACAGTGCGAAGAAGCGATCCGGTGGAAAGTTCTCCGACTCGCGACTACGATTCGATTCGATCGTCGAGGAATCTTCTCGCGGGGATGTCGAGATAACCCGGCACCATCCAACCGCGCAGGACCGGATTACCATGCTGGACACGGCCACGAGTCGCAGGTAAGAGAAAAATCCTTCCTCCCTTTCTTTTTTCTCTTCTCGCCGTCTTCTCGCGCTCCATCTTTTTCTATCCTGCCTGTCTCGCTCCTCGCACGTCATCTCTCTCTCTCTTTGTCTCTCTTTCTCTCTCTCTCGGCGAGTCGCGCGGAAAGAGCGGGACGCGAATACGCGATTGGACGAGCGCCGAGACGCGGAAATTCCTGCGAGAAATATTCCCGCGCGCGTGTCACATTTTCGATCGTTAGATCGGGCGATCTGGGAAGCGTTCGCGATATTCGGCTATCGTGATCGCGGCGGCGGATCCTGAAGAGAGCGGATAAAAAATTCTCCCCGCGATAGCGCTTTTTCGACCCGCTTCTCGTCAAGCTACAGACTCGGACGAAACGATAAACGAGCCGTTCCCTATTTCAGTATCGGAAACACGTACTCGGTTTATCTTATCGCGCGTTACTCTTTATTAAAGTTATGGAAGAGAGGAAAACAAATACCGAAATCTTCCTAGAACGTTTCGCGGGCTCTGCATTCGACGCTAAAAATGACGGCTATTCTCCTCTGGCGTTAAACTTTGGCACAAAGCATGCAAATTTGATGTATCGTCGATGGATTATAATATTTCATATTTAGCACTAAATAGAGAGGAGAATGTGCGCGAGTGCTGGACTTATATCTGTTTATTTTACGCACGTGGCTTTTGTGACGTTACCACGTTACCGGGATAAATGCCAGATCGAAGATGCAAAATATTTATGAGAGATTCGGAAACTCTGAGGACCATTCAAACGGTGTTTTCCTATCCTAAATATTTCTCGACTTATTACACAAATTTCTTGTTCTTTTTTTAAGATTGTATACAACCTCGTATTGTTCCGAAAGCACGTGAAACGAATGAAACAATGTAGATCACACGTGTCGACATGTAAACTGTCACGTGATAACATTGTTGATAAAAAAAGTTTAGAAAAACTGTATTGAAATAAAGGAATGGAAATTATATAACGTAACAATTTAATGTTTCGTGTTGCTTCCTAGTTCTCACAATATTATACGCTCTAACTTTAATAGCTGAGAGAGAGAAAGAGGAGAAGAATATTATATATGTGTCTTAATTTATATATTGAGAAAGAAAGGAGGGACAGAAAATACATGCATGTATGTGTAAAAATTATATTTCGGTTTGCAATATAAGATGTGTTCTAATTTATTGCTGTCAGATATGTGTAAACAAAGGATTATCTAGTCATACTTTTACTCTGATGTTTACAAAAGATGTTTCAAATATTTTTTTTTTTATTCCTACACACTTTTTACATGTTTTTCTCAGAATCTTGCGCATACTTTTGAAAGTTATTGATCTTATTTACATTGATTAGAATTTCCTATTCGCTGTTGTAAGTTTCATGTAATATTTTTCGATACATTGAATTTTTAATGATCTTTTCATAAGAGAGATGTGTTTAAGTATATTTAAATCCAAAGAGGAATGAAGGGGGAGGGAGGGGAAGGGGAGGAGAGGAAGAGGAATTGCAGACGATTAACCAGACGTCTATTCACCTTTCATCAAAAGTTTGCTTTAAATACTGCCTAATAATGTTTAATGTTTATTGAAGCAAAATGATAAGATAATCCTTTGCTTACCTATAGCAATGAACAGAAATTAGCAAGTCATATTTATTATCAGAACCAAAAATTGACATAAGACTGATAAGATGAATTTTTAGAATTGCATTTATTATGCATTTTTTCTTCAATTTAACGTATATTAATTAATAAAAATATGTATTTTAATTTCTGAACATTTTTTACACACACACACATATTGTAAACTGTTATCCAATATTTAGATAACTAAATGACACTCATAATGACTTTCTTAATATAAATCGTAGTAATAAATTCGATTCAAAGCTATGTATATATTATAAAGTGCCAGAAATGTAATATCGAAATAGACAGGATGACGGCCGTTTAATTGCATGATTCATGGGCGATGCTCAAGCAGACTACGAGAAATAATCCGGGCTGACTAAGCCATCTGCTTAGTCGTAAAAATTAGGTATTGAGAACACGGTAAACACTTCATCAATTAAATATACTTCGTTATTTGATCAAGCCATTTATTACTCTTGTGAATAATCATGTTATGATGGCAATTACATAAAATTAAAATGCACTTAAATCTTACTTTGATGTGATTACATATTTTATACATCTAATATATTCCATTTTACATTTTTTTTCTAAAATTGTTTAAATCTTCGATCACTTGTAATCACGCACGTTGCAGTTTTATGTAACATTATTTTTTTTTAATCTTCAGCTCATAACATGATCTCTTCGTCGTTTAGTTTGTATAGCGTGCGAGATACATAAAATGCATTTCTAAGGGAATTAATTTCAGCGAATAATCAAATAGTATATTCGAACAACAGAATTTATTTTAGAACAGCTCGTATATAATTACGAATCAGGCGAACCCCCCTCTCTTGATTACAACGAAATTCTACGCAAAGCGATATCTCAAAGAGCGTAAACCATCACAAGGTACACGCGTTACTTTCTTCGCTTGTGTTTCGAGGTACAGATATCGTCACGGCCTTTGTTGTCCGCCGCAACCGCGGGCGGATTCGCGGAAGACCGATTTTTCTCGGAACCTTTCACGCACGTGGTGGTGGTACCTGCCTGCCTACCTACCTAACCTACCTACCTACCTATCTACCTACCTACCTACCTATCTACCTACCAACCTACCTACCTACCTACCTACCTACCTACCTGCCTGCCTGCCTGCCTGCTTGCCTGCCTGCCTGCCTGCCTGCCTACCTGTCTACCTGTCTACCTACCTACCTACCTACCTACCTACCTACCTACCTACCTACCTACCTACCTACCTACCTACCTACCTACCTACCTACCTACCTACCTACAGTTGCACCGATCTCTCTGTGACTCACGATCAGTCTTATCTTTTTTTTCTCGTAAAAAGGACGCGGGAAACAATCGCGGAACTTCATTAACATCCGGAATACGCCTCTGACGCAGCGTGGATCGTCGTCGGCCATTGAGACCGACCGTGCATAAATTCCTCCGCGTACCTTAATAAATTCCGGCGCGCGTAACAAACGTCGAAAAAAAAGGGTCGAATCGCGCCGGCGATGCCGCTCCGAGAGAGTTGCGACGCGCTCGAAAACAAACTCATTAATACGCGCCGCGCGATAAACCTCGCGTATTGTCCTCGCCTGTTATTTACTCCCGACGCTGCGATTATGAACGCGCGTATCTCTGTTTATCCTCTGTTTTTATCCGTTTCCATCCTTGTCGCGGTTGTAAATTGACGAGGCTTTACGCTTCAGGTGCACGTTATCCTGAAAACTGCGACTATCGTGTTGCGATTCGTTGCTCGTGTTCGCTTCTTAACGTCGATTAATCGGATCGTGAATTATTTTCGCCTTCGAATAATTAGATTGTTCGGATATTTGGAATTATATAAATAATTATAAGGAAGGCTATTTTAAGACCAAGAAAAGCGCAGGTGGTATTGTGTGTTTTATAGATCTATAATTTTTTTTAAAATCAATTTCTAAAAACACAAATGTTTAAAAAAAAATTATTTAATTGGTCTTAAAATAGTCTTCCTTATTATTATTATTATTATTATTATTATTATTATTATTATTATTGATTTATCATTTGGACCAATTATTACGTTTACTTTATATTTTATTTTTCTGATCCTTGTTAAATTTCGAATTATGCCAATTTGGATTTATTAGAAATTGCAAAATAATATTTAGTTTGTAGTGGAATGACAATTCCAATTTATCCAAGGAAACGACCGCTCGAAAGTCTCGAGAAAATCAATTTCGCTTGTGTCGCGGATCAAAGGTTGTTACGATAAATATTCTCCGGTCAGACAACAATAGTTTTCTTTCTGTGTACTATTTTTAAAGAATGTTTCGTAGAGGGAGAACGAAACGGAAGAGTGGCAGACGGCTCGTTTGACCAGTCAAATTGCTCGATACCGGTGATCGTTGATTTTTAACATACGTGTAAACACACACATGCATGTACGCGTGTGTTTATTTGCGCGATGACGTTGTTCTCTTGTCAACGATTTCGGAGTGATGCGAAATGTGATAGTTGCGGAAAATAACATCAATGGGAAAATTTGTGTTTTAGAAAGAGTTGTGAAATTTATTTGCGAAATGTCTCGATATTCTCCTAATCTCTTGCAATAAAATGGCATTTAAATCTCATTCTTATTGTTAGATGATATAAATTTATTACACAAGCTTGTTCGAGTTTCTTTAAACAAAAATATAAATACTATTTTACAAAAATATAAATACTATTTTATCCGTTTATTTAATTGAAAGACGAATATAGACAACATAAATATGCGAAAAATTTTTTTGTTTACGTAATATAATTAAGATTTATATAATTAAGATGTGCGAAATAGACGTGATTTTTTTATTAAAAATAAAATTTACGCAATCCAGCAGTTTATGTACGATGTAATCAACCAAAGCTGAGTCGAAAATGCGCAACCGGCAATCAATCTTTTCAGGCGTGACGCATGACCGAGAAAAAAAAACGTGCTTTCTAATTAATGAATCAAGTTAAGTGGTTAACAGCCATAATTAGCCGCATTCATAGCTTGAACGTTAGATTACCCGATTAACCTGTGTTATTCCCATCCAGTGACCAACGAAGTATGGAATCCGCATGCTGTGCTTATTTAGAGTCGAATCATGCACTTGTCTGTGCAAATTAAATTCTTCTCGCTTTTCATAGTTAATTTCAATGGAAATCAATCACGCGTATCAATACACTAGTGTGAACATAATTGCGGACAGTGCCTCTCAATGTATTAATAATATCGATATTAAATATATTTATAATATCAATATTAACATTATTTCATTTTCTAATGTTAGAAAAAAAATTTCCAAATTTAATTTTTAGAATTGATAAACATTGAAACTTTTGTTAAATTTGAT